TTATTCGAAGGGGGCGCTTATTTGAGGTGGGGCACCAATTCAAGAAATTACAGTATGTGTATCTCTCTTTCTATAAGCATGCATGCAAATGAAGCCACACAGTACGTGTACTGTGTAAATATCAAACTCCAATTCTGAAAACCCAACACCATCACACATTTGTGATTTTGATATTAACTCTGATATTTTGATATAATTTATCATGATATATACTGAAAAATTATTCACTGAAGGCGAAGTGAATATTGGTGAATATTCCCTGAGACGAATTTAGTATAATTACTTACTAGGTGATTATACAAATTAACCAAAACAAAGGTCAACCAAAAAATGTTAAATTTTCTTTGTGATTGTCATGGATGCATCAATGAAAAACTATGTGCACAGATCACATGGTTGTATACATCACATGGTCAAAATGGCAAGTGTTTTTCACATGTTTTAAAACGTTCTGCCTTTCAGAAAAAGCCAAAAAGGAGGCTAAAATTGTCTCAAAGTCAGTAGTAAATTTGGTTTGTCATTGAAACCAGTCTGTTGGATAAATAAAGTAAATAAATAGTGTTGCAAAAATTTAATAGTTGTTTTGATTTACTCATGCACATATGACATACAGTAAGCGACTTTTTAACAGGAATTTAAAAGGTTTTTTTGTTATCTTTAGCACAATTTTCACATCTTACCTTTGAAAAGTGTAACTCTGAACTTTGTTGCGTGTTTTTTTCTCAGAATAGCATTTTTTTCATTATGTTAATTTCTTCTTCAGAGACATCGACAAAGCGCAAGGCACACGGCCATTTTGAAAATTAGTCATAGGTGATTTTAGCGGAATATGACCCCATTCTCGACCAATTCAAAGAGAGTACAAGAATTTCTTTAACCACCTGACTAACTCATTAAATATCAATCTTCATCACAGATAATCTGACATTATCAAACACTTGAGATTTTGATATTCCCTCTAATATTTTGATTATATCATACAGAATATCAGTACACATCATAATATCATTGCCTTCTACATGTATCACTATCAAAATATCACAATATTATCAAAAATCCTTCTAAGAAATATATGAGAAAAGGGAGTAACTGCAGAATACCCGGCCACTCAAAGTTGTACCCCTTAAAAACCTGGATATGCAGCAATGCAGTTTGTACACAGCTTCTTTAAAATTTTTGCAAGTTTTTAGAACGAAAAATATAGTCACATGGCTACATGGCTATGTGGCCATGCGGCTACATGGCTTAACATGGCTATGTGGCTACACAGCTACGGGGATACTTGCCTATGCAGCTACCTGGCAATGTAGCTATGTATCTTTGTAGCCACGTAGGCCGCAAAGGCTGCGTAGTCATTGTTTTGGAGTCGCCGGGTATTCTGCAGTTAATTAGCCAAGAAAAGTTTTGATATATCAGAAGTGTTACTAGTGATTGATGGAATATATCAAACACAAGAGATAGTGTTTTATCAGGATATCCAAATACTGAGAACAGAGTTAAAAATATGATGTACAGCAAAGTATTTTTGACGAAATTCAAGGTGTTTGGATAGTAGGCCAATGAAACACTGTCTCGATCAAGTGTTTGATATATCTTCTCAATCAAAACAAAAACTAAGGAGTAAATGGAGGAGTAAAATCGTCAAAATCTATGCTAATTAGGACCGAGTATCCAAACTTCCTTCAAGGTTGTGATTTTCTTTGTTTCAACTTGATGAATTATTCATGATTTGAGAAATTTTGATATTCTGCAATACCACACCTTACTCAAAAAGGGTGTTGTTAAATTTATGGTCACCCCAAAGTGCAGACCAGGCAGATCTAGACTGCAGATCATCCAGACCACGCAGACCACATGCAGACCACATGCAGACCATGCAGACTGAGTACTTTTTTCTAACACTTTATTCACTTTTTTCGGTCCTAGTTACAAAATAGTGTTCAATATATCCTTGAAATGTTTGTTATTTATCCACATGCCACACAAACTCAGCATCTGACTGTTGATTCAAAAGACGAATTTGAACGTGTTTAATAGACTTTCTATGGGAAATTCCCTTTTCTGGTAGTTCTAAATATATTAAAATAAAGCATAAACTTCCATACATTTTTGGGTGCAAATTGCTATTGATGGGTTTGTGACTCGCAGTTTTATTGCTGTTGTTCGAATTTGTTATTTTACAATAACTGTCTAATTTCTTGTGCACTGATTGGCTCATTTTTATCATCAATATTTAGAGTACAGACAGATAAAATTTTAAGTAATGCAAATCCACCTTCAGCTGTCAAACTGTTAACTTTATAACCAATGAGATTTTATTGACTTTTTTAAGTAGCCAATATAAAATCAAAAAGCAAGAAAAGCTTTTGGCAATGTTTGCATCATTTTGAGTGAAATTCACTTATCTTTGTTTACGGCAAGTTTATGGCATCTTTTCCCCTCATTCATTCCCCGCATTTGAGCATTTTGGGGTCTTGTTATTGTAAAAAAACAAATTGACATCAGTTTTTTATGCGTCTGTCCTCTTATTGATGATAAATTTCATCATAACAATGTCAAAGTTTACTGCAGAACCACTCACCTGCAGCTCGTGGTTCTACAGCCACTTTGACAATGTTATGGTGCAATTTATCGTCCATAAGAGGACAAATGCATAAAAAACTGATCTCAATTTGTTAATTGTCGTGTTTTTGTTGTTTTCTTTTTATTTCCCTGGTCTTCGTTCCCCCTCATAAGTGATTCATAACTTAGCAAAGTAAGGACGGTGACTCTAAGTGATTCCGTCCCACAAATCGCTATCGCATCACAAAGTTCTTTCGCTTTAAGTCCGCTGAGCGTGACCGTAAATAAACCTGGAGGGGAAAGTGCCCACGCAAAATTTTTAGCTCGAGGTTTAATCTTCCACATCACGCACGACAGACTTAGCGAAAAGGGGACCTAACTTGTAGTCTAAATAATCGCCATAAAAAACCACTGCCATAAGGCCAAATAAATTAGCCATCGCATCAACTCATCACAGTAACCATAGTGCACTGAGAATTTCAAATGATATTTGGTTTTCCGTAATACTTTCATGCGCTCGGCTTTTTTGGGCGTGATTGCAGTCAAGCTCCAACGGTCGTTTGGAATTACGTTTTGTATACTAAGAGTAGAGAATGTGCGTGTTACGTGTGACATTATATTACAAGTGAAGTTTATTTCTACATTTTAAAACAGCTTTACTTAATAAGCACGTCTAGATCTAGGACTAAAGGAAGTTTCCTTTACAAAGCCTGTTACGCGTTGGTCGTATTAAATTGAATCAACAGTCACATACCAAGCTTGCGCAGCCTGTGCATAAATGGTCAGTAAATAACAAACACTCCGATATATAACTGAACACTAATCTGTCTCTAGGACCAAAAAATGCGAGGGAAAAGTAAGTAAGCACGAAAACAAGAATAAGAGAAAAGGTACTCAGTCTGCATAGTCAGTCGGTCTGCGCCGCTAATTAAACTGGGTAGTACCTGGTGTGTCTCTCTCCGTAGAGCAGAGTCACGAGTAGACTTGCCACAAGCCGACCTTTGCTTAATCCTTCGCTTATTCTCCCTCGAGCGAAGAGAGAGAGTCAAACCAACAGGCCAGAGAAGTATTAATGGCAGGGACACCGCGGAAATACGTTTTTTGACGTCACAGTAACTGGTCAGTGGTCATCACCATCGGGCTGTGCT